CAATGATCGCGCACGTGAACTCGACAATTTACTACTGTGGACTTCGACCGAAAACAGGAAGAAAATGAAGTCGGACAAAAACTACGATAAAACCTATTGGAAAGCATCTTTTACAGCGATTTTTGTGTGAGCATATCAGTGAACACCCCAGACCACTCGGTGAGTTTCACGTCTTTGTAAACTAAAGTTTTATGTGTTTTAATGAATGATTGTTCGAGTGCACCTATGCTACCATTGTAAAGGTGGGGGGGTGCTAACACAGAATCCCAAAATTCTCGTGACAGCAGCATCTGTCTAAAAAACAATCTTAACTATTCTATTTCATCAGGGACGATCTTAAAACAGGGCTTTAATTGTAAAATACCGAACTTGTCGTTTAAGAATACGTGATTGTAAATGTAAATGCATTTGCAAAATATAGTGAATTTTTATTGCAGAGTAAATTCAACAACACGCAGCTCTGGATTAAGCCTTTCCTTCTCATACTCGTCTCGTTTTAATCATGTTGACATTAAACAATCAAAATCAAGTAAGCCGTGCACTATTGAATTACACAGTTTTTCCCACAACCAGTGAGGTTTACCATAAATCCTGTGAGAAGCAGTGGCAGATGTGGATGGGAGGAGTCTGGAACGGGACAGAGACAGCGATTCATTCAAGATAGTGTTGTAGTCGAGACCACCTCACTCGAGTCCGAGTCAAGACCGAGTCCATAGAGAGTCGAGTCCAAGACCAGAGATGGTCGAGTCCGAGTCGAGACCGAGACCAGTGAGGGTTGATTACCTAATTTACTTTTATTTACTTAGAGAAATCCTTTTTTTATTTTACTGAATTTACTTAGAGTTTAAAAAATATGATCAGTTTAGGGTAAAAAAGGCCACATAGTAGGTGGTGTTAAAAGTAATTTTATTACAATTTGTCATGCGCAGTTGCGCACTAGAAAATCACCAATCACTGGGCGTGTCAATCAATTTAAAGAAATATTTTATTAACATACATTAATAATCATGAAAAATATTTTTAATTGAACTCGAGTGGACTCGGGAATAATTCCGAGTCCTAAAAAAAAAAAAGTTCGAGTCCGAGTCAATTCCGAGTCCAAATGCACACGAGTCCATGACAAGACCAAGACCATTAAAATATGGTCTCGAGACCGAGTCCGAGACGAGTCCGAGTCTCGAGTACTACAACACTGATTCAAGAGACACACACCTATCTGAGAGCGGCATCTCAGCGCTTCATGGAGCTTCACACACACCCTGAGAGCAAATATCTCCTGTTCATCATTAACTAGTTTTCAGTCTCACTGTCCACCTTCATTCTCACCCACCTCTCATACACAAGGCCTATTCTTCTGACGCACACACACACTGTCTCACCCAGCCCTCATTGTTGTTAACAGTGCCCTGTGTGTGCTGGGATACTTGATCCCACAAGGACCAAGCCACTGCACAGAAATAAAGGGAGAGAAAATTAGGAGTAGGGGGAGGATAAGAAACCATAAAAAAACATGAGAAGCCATACTTGAAAAAAAAAAAAAAAAAACTTCAATATAGATAAACGGCTCATGAGTTTTAAAACAGAAAATTGCAATATTAGCATTTCCTATTTTTCCCCGAATGCGATTTGGGTTTTTCCATATAATTTTTACAAGGAAGTAAATCACCCGCATTCATTTCCTATCACAAAAGATGGAAAATGTGAGAATTACGTCTGAACACATAAGAGGATTGAGTCATAGCATTAGAGGTCCCAAAACAAAGGCAGTCCTTTATCATTCCTTATTCGCCTGCAAACACATATCTTTGATTGCAATATGACTCTCTTCACAAAGCAGTTGTTTAATTTGACACACCTTCTTAAGGAATGATTTGACGTTTGAATGTTGGCTATCTGCCCTTTCTCGGCATCTTCAAGGTCGGAACATTTTACATTAGATATCTAGAAGCTTTTATCCAACTTGCAAATTTGGAAAAACAACAGCAATGTAGAAGGATTAGTTCATTTTTGAAAAAACTTTTGCTGATAATTTACTCACCCCCATGTCATCCAAGATGTCCATGTCTTTCTTTCCTCAGTCGAAAAGTCGATTTTTCTCCATATAATGGACTTCAATGGGAACCGGATGGTTCAGGGTCCAAAAGACAGTTAATAACTGTTTCAGATGCAGCTTCAAATGTCTTTAAACGACACCAGACGATGAATAAGGGTCTTATCATGCGAAACGATCGGTTATTTCAAAACTTATTCCAAAAATGTAACTTTTATAAGGACAAATGCTAGCCTTGCTCTATTCTCTGAGGCGCGTTTGCAACGTCACGTATTACGTAATTACGTTCAAAAGGTCACGGGCGACGTAGCCGGAAGTACAGAATCAAAATCGTCCGACATCGTTTTTTTACCTTTTAATTCCTTTTTTGTAAACGCCGTTTGAGTTTGTTTTCACGTTCAACCTATGCGTTCAACTTGTAAACACTCTGACTCTGTAGTTCTGGCTACGTCGCCCGTGACCTTTTGAACGTAATTACGTATTACGTGACGTTGCAAACGCGCCTCACAAAATATTACAAGGCTAGCATTTGTCCTTAGAAAAGTTACATTTTTGGAATAAGTTTTGAAATAACCGATCGTTTCGCATGATAAGACCCTTATTCATCGTCTGATGTCGTTTAAAGACATTTGAAGCTGCATCTGAAACTGTTATTAACACTATCTTTCGGACCTTGAACCATCCGGTTCCCATTGAAGTCCATTATATGGAGAAAAATCCTGGAATGTTTTCATCAAAAACCTAAATTTCTTTTCGACTGAGGAAAGAAAGACATGGACATCTTGGATGACATGGGGTGAGTAAATTATCAGCAAATGTTTTTTCAAAAGTGAACTAATCCTTTAATGAGTAAGAGTGGTACACACACTTCCATAAGTCAATAGATCATGAACTGATCAACTTTATTCGTATTTATTTAGGATTATAGATTCAACAGAAGAGGCGACGAGGCCTTTGACCTTAGGAGGCTCTTAAATGAACAGCAAAACCAACTCAATTAAAAAAGTAACTATAATATTTTCCTCAGGGCATGTAAACACACGTTTTCATTAAGAATAACCAGATTAAACCGGGTTTTTAAAACAACCAGGAATCATTGCTCAAGGTGGTTTGTCATAATAAATTATAGTATATAAAATGAATCCCCTAATTAACTCGACATTAATGACTTCAGCAGGTGGAATTTTAGGAAATCAGCAGATTTAATTTAGGCTTGTGTTCACATATAAACATTAATCTGAGAATATAAACAGAAGCTTAACTGAGACTGCTTGACATGCAAAAACAAATGAACCTCATTGGTTCTTGGAGAAGCTCAAACGTGATGCGTAACACGAGAATGAACCTCATTGGTTCTTGCTGAAGCTCAAATGTGATGCGTAAAATGAGAATGAACCTCATTGGTTCTTGGAGAAGCTCAAACGTGATGCGTGACAGAAGAATAAATCTCATTGGTTCTTGGAGAAGCTCAAACGTGATGCGTAACAGAAGAATAAATCTCATTGGTTCTTGCTGAAGCTCAAACGTGATGCGTAACAGAAGAATGAACCTCATTGGTTCTTGCTGAAGCTCAAACGTGATGCGTAAAATGAGAATGAACCTCATTGGTTCTTGCTGAAGCTCAAATGTGATGCGTAACAGAAGAATGAACCTCATTGGTTCTTGCTGAAGCACAAACGTGATGCGTAACACGAGAATGAACCTCATTGGTTCTTGCTGAAGCACAAACGTGATGCGTAACACGAGAATGAACCTCATTGGTTCTTGCTGAAGCTCAAATGTGATGCGTAACAGAAGAATAAATTTCATTGGTTCTTGCTGAAGCTCAAATGTGATGCGTAACACGAGAATGAACCTCATTGGTTCTTGCCGAAGCTCAAACATGATGCGTAACACAAGAATAAATCTCATTGGTTCTTGCTGAAGCTCAAACGTGATGCGTAACACGAGAATGAACCTCGTTGGTTCTTGAAGAAACTCAAACATGTTCAAACAATAATTCATTGTTTGAACTATTTCCCAGAAACTAATGTTTTAATGACAGTGACATTAAGTGTCATCAAACAACATTTGTTTCAGTTGTTCCCATGTTTTACTGGTAACTATAGTGATAAATTCCTTTTAAAATAAAAATATGAGGAACAACATCAATGTTTTGTTTTCATGACAGCTCAGAGATATAAATCAAAGAAACTATGTTAGTGAGATATAAATAATTGAAATTACAAAAGGTTGAGTATAGTTACATTTTCAGATTCAAACAATTACGCATTTATTTAGGTTTTGCTTTATGTTAATGGTCTCTCAAAAAAGATGGCTTTGATGTTAAATGTTATGATTACGATATGTAAATATCACAATAACATTAACCCCTCTTTAGCTTGTTATTAAAATGAATATAAAAATGATTCATAAAATACTTTCCCAAAGATAATCAATCCCTTGGTGAATTGTATAAAGGCACTGTATGAATTTCTTTTCTTCTTAGATTGTGTACATGCTTCAATTTTATTAATTTCCTCCTTGCAACCCCCGTTAGGTCAAGATTATGCTTTTTTATTAGACTAAATATGCGGTTGTTTATTTTATTTTTTACACACACGAACCTGTAAGCATATGCACACAGATATACGAATAGTTTGTAAATTGATATTGTTCAATAAAAATAATAAAAAAACATTTCCGTTCGTGTTCACACGAGCGTGACATTTTTTGAGTGGACTATTCCTTTAACACCGGGAATATTTCGCCGCATGGACTGATAGATTTCCCTCAGAAGTGGCCTAAAATAACCATAAAAACGGGAAACCGCCTCTATAATGAATTCAATTTGTCATTATAAGGCATAAAAGGGTTTTGTATCGAAATAATGCTAATATATCTTCGTGTTGGGTACAAATCCCATTTATTTTCTCAGTTCATCACCCAGAAAGTTAATTGTGGAGCCTCTCCGCCCCTGAATTCGTGCACCTTCCACGCGCGTGCGTCGTGAATCGCTGGCGCGAGAGAGGCGGCGCGCGGTGCAGTCGCGAGATGACAGACAGCGGCAACTGACGCGACGCACCGCTATAAACTCGGATGCCCTACCAAACACGTCAGCGTCTCTATTGGTGTATTCTGCGCTTGAATAACGGCGAACGAGTGAAATTAAAGCGGTTTCGGAGCCATTGTTTGCCCGTGCGGATCACAAACTGCATCTATCCATCACTAGTCGCGGGAGCGTGAGATGACAAAGGTGGGTGAGAAAGAGAGTACAAGCTTGCTCCCGTGTTGCTTGATCGCAGTCAGTGGTCTGGATTACTGCACACCTGTATTGTTTGTGATGGTTTTACATCTGATCTCATGATGAATGTGGTGCGTTTGCAGCAGAAATCAAATGCATCGGCGTTTTCTCATTCACCTTTCTGATTCCTAATGGTGATCAGCGGATTTATTGATATTGATTGCCGGACTGCATGCTATAAATCAGGTTTTAAGTGACAGATTCACTTGTGAGGATCTTGGGGCAAGGAAACAGCAGCCGGGTTCATTCATGATCATCTGACATCAGATAGTTCATTTGAATGACGCTTCTTACACTTTTAACGCGAAATAATGTTCATTTTGCTTGGAAATATTTTAAAGACATCAAAAAGGCTTATGCATTGTGTTGTGAAAGTGTGTCTTAAATGTTCGGAAAGTTTTACATGCTTTAAAGTACGTGTTATGATTTTAATTGACAGGGATATGCTAAATACTTGCATTCAATTTAGTTGAAAACGGAAAATGGGAAGTTCTCCTGTCGTCCAATTATAGATGTTGGATGCTTTTAACTGGGAACTGCTTAGGTTTTCTTTCCATTTAACTTGTAAACAAACATGTCAAGAGTGAAACTGGTCACTGTGTGATTTGCAATGCAAATTGCATTAATCATGTAGCCTTTAGCACATCAGACTTGTGTGAGATGAGATGATAACATCTGCTTCATATGGTCTTGTTCTGTTTGTCCCGCTGTTCCTGTTTTCCCCTTTCAGAAAATGATTCATCGTTTTAAGCACGTCAGATAACGAGGCTCAATATCATCTGGTGAAACGGAAATGGTGCATTGATAAAATTATATAATCTGTACCCTGAAATTAAGAGGAAACTGTTTGGAAAAATGTCATTTTAGAGTTTTAAAATGTATTGTTGCTCTATAATTGCAAAATCAAGATTTATATAATTTCAGAGCTCATCTAATCGAACCATGAAAAAAGATCCAGTGTTCAATACGCATTAGTGGAGAGTGATGACAGCTTTCGAGTAAACTAGTTCTGTAGCCGGATTGTAATCCCAGTTAGCAGATCAGTTCAGATCCTTGTGCATGTTAGATGAACACCATTATGAACCTGAAACATCATTTTCATCAGCAGTGAGTCATTTTTGCAGCACAAAATGGAATTAATGACCTTTACGAAGCGTTATTCTCCCACCTGTCATTGGTTAATACACAAGAGTCTTTATTGAAATCCGTTTTGGTTGGTGAATGAAATTGTGGAGCTTTCAATTTTACAAAATGCATGTTTTATTGACCAGTTTGGGCCACCGTATAAACAGCTCTACCCAAATAACATGAGGAATTGTTGGCTGTTGTTTAAAGTCACAATATAAAATGTAATTTTCTCATGTAATGTTGCGATGTTAATCCATGCACATCATTCGTTATTATTCATCCAGATACAATTACGACCAACCAATGCTACCTCACGACCAATTCGTACGAATTTGTTTGAGTGATTAAAAGGTGGCTAATGGTGCGTTCTATTATTCATCTGTCTCGGAGATCCAAATCGGACGACAGACGTTGCCTAGCAACACGCCCCCTTTCCACGGATTTCTCCTCTCGGACGTCGGACAACCGCGAGGACACCGAGCAAGAATTCCGTTTCGGAATTCAAGATGGCTGCGCCTTGTGTGACTCAAGTATGAATTGTTTTCATTGTTTTTGAACTGCTTTGGTATTTTAAATGATGATTATAATCACTGGTATTACTGCGTCCCCTGTAGGTATGGGAATCGGTTGTTTTGAGTGCAATTACTAACGTTGCTAGCGTTGCTAACTGAAGATTAACATGAAATAAAGTGAACATTTTCAAATTCAAATGGCTGCGTTTTGATAAGGTGTAGTCATAATATTTTTTTAATGTAAGTGCCTGATACTCGGCCAGTGCTACCATTACAACAACTTTCCGGGTGGCGTCCATTTTTTTTCTCCGACTCGGACGCGCAAAACATAATAGAACGCTTGAAGTGTGGACGTGACGTCATATCAGAGGTCCAAGTCGGTTCGTTGGCTATAATAGAACGCACCATAATTAGTAAGAATTTGTACTATGTCTAAATTTAGGGGCGGCGTCAGGGGTATGTCATTCATACGAATTGGGCAACTCGTTAAATATACGATTTGGCAAAAATCTTACTAATTCGTACGAGTGAGGTCATACGAATTGTTACGAATTAGCCTCCTCGTAAAATTCCTACGAATTGCCGCGAGATCGGGATGGAACAACATGTTCGCTTCAACACTAGAGTTTTACAAATGTTTCTCACCCACACTAAAACGTCGGAAGGCTCTTAAATCATCGTACGGTCCAAAAACTCATTGGATGATACCGAGAAAGACCAGACGTAAAGATCTCACGTTATTCTTTATTAGCAAAATATACCATCACATTCACAGAAAATAGCTCTGCGTTGTAAAATGAGAAGAAAACACAGAAAAGGCAATTGGCAATTTCGTTTCATGGTGACTTGCACTCAAAAATGTTTCTAGGGATGAACCGATATGAAAATTTTGGACCGATAATTTTGTCCGATAAATCTAAATTCAAATTTTTCTATAATTTTTGAGAGCCTGATTACAAAAACAAAAGTCTCTCTCCATGTATCAAGCAAACACTTAGAATAATTTCACGTAGCCTAAATTTCAATCCACTTAAAACCATAATTATGAACAGTTGCGCTTCTGAAACGGAATAAGGAAATAATCCATTTATCGATAACACGAACATAAAAATTAGCATTTATCGGTCAATGCCGATATATCGTGCATCCCTTCTTTTTCAATGATAATTTAAGTTTAATGTAAATTGCAGACTGATCTCATGAAGTAGCGTGTGTATGACACGGCAATTCGTATTTCCATTTTTGGCGTGCTATCAAGACGCATAATCGCTTTTCAGCGTGTTTATGAACGCCGTTGACTTAACGTTATTACTGTATATATAAATATATGACTTACCTCAACCCCGTCCCTAAACCTAACCGTCACTGGGGTTAATGGCATTTATGACTGTTCCCTTACCATCCTAGGAAAAAAAAACATCGCTCCCCAGATGTAGATCTACATTTTGCTTTGTTTTGCTCGGACATTTGACGGCGTGCACAGACACGCGGAATGACGCGGACGTTAATGGCGTAGACATACACTCGAATACACGCGGATAGCTCAAAATGCGTAGAGATAACACGCCACTTGACTCGAAATTGGCGTGTATGTTTACGCAAAAGTCATGATGTCATGTTGGTAAATTTAATGGAGGGAATCATGTCGTCAAACTTTTATCAGTAATAATAAAACTAACCTAAAAACAAATACATTAAAGGGTTAGTTCACCCAAAAATGAAAATTCTGTCAGTATTTACTCACACTCATGTTGTTCCAACCCCGTAAGACCTTCGTTCATCTTCGGAACACAAATTAAGATATTTAAGATATTAAGATCGCTCCTCCATACTAGTCCATAGGCTTCTTGAGGGAATGACTCTTGCTGTCCCCGAAAAGTTATTAAAGACATCGTTAAAATAGTCCAAGTGACTACAGTGGCTCAATCTTAAGTTTATCAAACGACGAGAACACTTTTGTGCGCAAAAAAACAACAAAAATAACGACTTTATTTCAACTATTGGTTTATTTCTCCCTCTGCGCGAGTCAGGTTACTAGTTTAATAGCGTAAGCTTCTGTTATTGTACGTCACACGCATCACACACATGACCAGCGTCGGCCAATAGTGAGCCTACGTGTGACGTAGCTTTACGCAATCACACTACGTTAACTGACTACAGGCCCATGGAGAAGGAAGTGAATAGTTGAAATAAAGTCGTTGTTTTTTGCGCACAAAAAGTGTTCTCGTCGTTTGATAAAGTTAAGATTGAGCCACTGAAGTCACTTGGACTATTTTAACGATGTCTTTAATGACTTTTCGTTGCCAGCAAGAGTCATTCCCTCAAGAAGCCTATGGACTAGTATGCAGGAGTGATCTTAATATCTTAAATATCTTAATTTGTGTTGCGAAGATGAATGAAGGTCTTACGGGGTTGGAACAACATGAGGGTGAGTAAATACTGACAGATTTTTCATTTTTGGGTGAACTAACCCTTTAACAGTAAAGTTAGCATATTTTTATGCTACTACTTTAATAATTAAAATGTGTGGCTTTTTCTGGTTGACAAATATAATTACAATCTTGGTTGAATATCCCCTGACCGCAGTATATCTTCAAACGGCTTTGTTGCGATAGCAATGTCCACTCCCTGAGAGTCAATAGGAGAACATCTAGTATAAAACAGAAATATGAGACAGATTGTGAAATTCATAAACAACATGCCAATCACAAGCCTCGTGATTCTCAAGAATTGTGATGGGGACGTCAATTCTTGAGAAGGTAAAGTGAGATGTGGAGGCGGGTTTACGCTGCGTCTGGTTGCTCATCCGATCCTCTGTTTCTACCGTTCTGGGGCCAGTTGCATAAACCATTATGTTAAGACAGTGTCTTAAGAGCTAGTTTGACCAACTGGAGTTAGTTAGGGGTAATCAGTCTTGCTGTTCGGTATCAAATTAGACCAATGTATGTTTTTATGTAACTAACTTTGAAAAGTTATGAACAGTCTTGAAGAAAAAAATTGGATGATTAATAACTTGTAAGACTAGTCTTAGCAGTTTGTGCCACTGGTGTGTGTATATCTGATTGATAACCTGCGTGATTAAATGTTAACTGACGGAGTTTTTGTTGCTGAAAGCGGGAGAGTGTGTGTTTTAGATTAGCTGGCTGTTTGTCTGACTCATTAAACCCGCCATCTTCTCTCGGTCTCAACCTTTTCCGTGACCCGTGCGTTAATTTCCCTCCTCTGAGGCGCTTTTTTCATCCACTTGGCGATTAATGTCCATTTTGCTTTATCAAGGAGCTGCATGTATATTAATATGAATCTGATCCTGTG